GAGAAGGAGAGAGAGAGAGAGAGAAGCAAAAATAACACAACAAAAGAGAAGGATTCTCAGACAGTCAAAAGGCCAAGGACTTGAAGCCTCGCCTGGACTCAAGAAAGCCCTGAAGTGTGCGAAAGACTCTCTCTTGACGCAACCTCCAGCTCCAGCTTGCGGACTTCTCAAGGTTTTGGGCCCTAAAACTCAACTTTGGCAGTTTTCTTTAGCGCCTTTAGGATTTATTTCCTCTGTCCTGCCCTCGGAGACATGGCATTCATGGGGGATCACGGCGTGCCCTCAGGGCGTGGGAATGCGTGGGACATGTCCCATCCCCTTCAGCTGGACGCAGCTGGGGCCCGTGAGTCGCTCTCGCGTTGTAAGCTTCGCCCCGTCTTCAGCAAGGCGAGAAGTCTTGAACCCTTCTACTTTGACTTCAAGCCCCTCGATGAGTAGCTTCAAATCCGAGGACCCTAAACCAGACCCCTTAAATCCAAAGCCCTACATGTAGTAGAACTCATTGTGCCAGCACAGCCCAAGCATATCCTTCAAGTCGACCGAGTCGAGCATGTTTGTGTTCACTGTGTCCATTCATACACATGCCTCAATCCACTGCCTCTCAAACTTTGCGTTTCCGGGGTCGAAGACACACTTTAATCATGCCGAGCCGACATCTACCAGTAAAGCCCAACAGCAGATGCCTTTAAAATTGCACTGGCCCATGATCATTGCATCTATGCTTCTGAGGCTTCGAAAACTTGGAACACAAAAGATGTCTTCGTGCTACCACCTCCTTGTTCGTAGTCATCGGGATCGAATCGGGCCAAACCTCCCTCCAAACATGGTATGAATCGATGAAGTCTGTTTGTACTCGGCATGCGGTCAAAAAGCTGGCTTTGCAGCTCGAGCACGTAGAATGCCATTCTGGGCCCTGTTTTGCATGTCAGTTTCGCTGCTGAATCGATGCGAGGCTGTCCTGAATGATGCATACCGACTGTTGGACGTAGGCCTAGCCAGTGCCGACAATGTGCGCTGATAGTTTGAAACGGTGCTCGCTGCACCAAACCTAGCCCTTGCAGGAGCAGTTGGCCGAAGTTGGCCTCCAGTTGATCACACCACGTTGGTGGGACACGGCATGACAGTGTCGCTTTGGGCAAGGTGATAGTGGTAACCGACGCACAGACCCTTACCGACCTGTGATCAGCCTGGCACAGTGCAAAGCTTGCCTTCGGAGAGGTGAGATCATGTCAACGGAATCTGAGGTGGGGCCGACCGCGCAGAATGCCTAGGGCCTATGGAGGCCTCTTCACAGTCGGGCAGCAGGAGGAAAGCCGCTGACCACCAGCACTTGACTCCCACAGAAGCCTCATTTGCAGGACGGTGCGCGGCTTGCTTTGAGTGTGGAGGTGAAGAAATTATCAAGCAAATGCACGACTGCAGGGCATGGTGACATGCTTGTTGAATGAGTTTAGCACGCTGAGGGCAAGCTGGAAAAGCAGACAGGCATTCTCAAATCACACAGAGCTCGTATGGAAGAGCCTTCGTCTACACCTGCAGACGCGAAGAAGGTGCGGAGGGAACCCTCTGCCCATCATCCCCAAAACGGTATGACCTATGACAATGGTTCCAGGCACGAGGCGAAGCACTCTTAAGTCTTTGGGGTGGGCAAGTTGCACCAAAGAAAAAAGTCTGCCTGGCTAAGATTACCAGCTTCGGGAATACAAAAGGTGTCGCCTTTTGGAAGCCAGTTGTTGCGGCTGCGAACCTGGCTCAGCTGTACATGCCAATGGTGGACGAGCCGACTTGATGCAGTGACAACGGTAACCGGGTGTGTTGCTTTCGGTGCTACCTAACACATTTTCACTCGAAGCAGCGGGATTCCAACACCCAGCTGAAAGCATGCCTTCAGAACCAAACAGGCTGATCACCCTGTGACGTGTGTCGCCTGTTTCCAAAGGAAGGAGATCGACAAAGGCCGGGCCAAAATCTCGTCTCAGGACTTGCTGGGCAATTTGGCGTTCAGACGGCGGCGCCTAGCGCACAAAATTGATACCCAGAGTTCCTGCCTCGAGCCGCTTCGCTCTCAGTGTTGAGACTGCGTCTTTGCTGCCTGTCCGAGCATCAGGCATGAACTCGGGACAGCTCCAAGCACCGACGCAACCTTTTGGCCTGAGGATGCCGAACACGAAGCAGAAGTCTGCTCAAATGTGCCACCATTTGCACGGTATGGGGCACATCGTAGAGCGATCCGAACAATATTGCATCCGGTTTTCTAGGACAAGCACCTCCACACCAGTCTTTCCTTGCCGAAGCCGATACTGTCTCCTGGAATGGGCAAACAACCGGCCTATGAGTGGCCAGCCGCAGGCCATGCAGGCCTTGCAACTTGGCCATCACCTGAATTGACTGGGCCTTCGCTGCCACGTGGAAGGAGGCGCAGAGACACAGGCACTTCATCTGACGATGAGCCCATGTCAGTGTCCTCCAAGGCATGAGCAACACGGCAGCGGACGAGTACTTGCCTGGAGAATACCAGAACGGTAAGCGATGTTGGTGCAGGTTTAAGGGAAAACCGATTGGGGCACCAAGGAGGGTCATTAGGCGTAAAGGGAAGGGAAAGGGCAAACCACGGAGAGATGTGAACCTCAGTGAGCTCTTCCAGCAGCCTGCTTATTTCAACTGAAAGGGCAAAGGCGGTCATAGTTCGGGTACGGCAGGAAGCTAAACCCGCGAGGCCGTGATGGCGAGCCCCTTAAATGCAGTACCTGCAGGTCCGTCCTGTTACCATTTACGAGCTAGGTGTCCTCGAAGACCCTGCCGCAACCAGGTGCCGGTGCTCAGCCGAGCCGCTCAGGACCAGCGTTTACGGATGAGGCCACAGCAGGCTTACACTTCGCTGCTTGTGGATCTGACGGTTCCTGGTCCACAACACACCAAGATCAGTGTCCTCATCCTTTGCACACGTGCCTTCTGCAACTTCAGAGGCCCAAAGTCCGAGACCAAAGCCGGGAGCCTAACGAGTGCTGATCAACAGGCTCCGATTGAGCTGCATCTGTGCAGCGACAGCCACCTGAGCAACATGGGCTGTCGCCTGACCCGTGGGTGTCGCAGCCTGACCCAAGGATGCAGCGGATGCATGAGGAGACTGAGCACAACCGCGGCAGTCTGGCGGAACACTCGCCAGTAAGCATAAGCACCGATGACCCCGAGGCCTAAATAGCAGTGGTTGGTTTCTTCCGGGTATAGGTAATGTAGGTCATGCCCAAACCTTTGCCGAAGCGCTGGACCTCAAGAGAAATCCTCCTCCAGCACTTGCCACCGCTATGACTGTCAGCACGCTTTGCTGGCTCCAGGATGAGTCTTGAGACCTGAACGCCTCGCGAGGTGCCAGCACGACCAGGCCAAGTCGCCGGTCGCACAGCGTACCGTCTGTGTTCTCTTCAGCCCTGCAGGCCTCATCCAGTTTGTTTCCGAGCACAGCAGGCAGTGCTCTTCAGCCGTCATCCTTCCTATGTCAGCCAAGCCAGCTTGAACACGGTGCCTTCTGCAAGCTCAGTCTCAGGCTGGTGCCTTACGGGAGCAGGGCCAAACTCCCGCAGAGGCAACTCCGAGTCAAGAGCCCGTCCGAGCCAGGCCACTCCATGGACATGGCCTGCCGCTACCGCGTGCCGAAACCGGCCGCTGCATTGAACTAACCCGACGTGTTGATCTCGCAGAACCCTATATGCGAAGCAAGGTCACGACACATCTGAGTACGGCCTAGCCGGGGTAATCGTCGTGAGTCCAGTCTACGCGTTATCTGGGCATCCAGCTCGGCGCAATCACATCTCACGCGGCGATGCATACGGTGGGTGATTTTGTCACAGATTTGACCATCGCCGCTTCTGTGGGCACGTGGCAGTGCTTCAGATGCAGACCAGCAACTAGTGCATCAATGAGCAACCTGACCCATCGCAGCTGTATGATATCGAGCCTTGGCCGCAGGTTCGAGCCAATAACTCATGCATGGATGCTATGTTTTATCATCGTGCCTGGGAGCTCAAACGGGTGAATCTTTGTCTATCTTTGTGCAAGAAGCCTACAGAGCTCACCAACATGTCGCACTGCCTAGGGAATGCGCATTTAGTCCATCTGTAGCTTCATGTACTGTGTGACAGAATTAATGGCCAGCGGCGTTGAGTCTCAGGTGAGTGCTCAAACACAGCTCATCGCAGGCCTATCCTTCGCGAGCCGTAGGCCCAGATGAGCCAGAGACTCCAGAACCGGAAGATGGCAAGGAGCCGTGGCACAAGTGTAAGGGTTGTCTTTGGGGGTTACATCGCAATGCCCCTTTGCACGCCAGACACGCTCCAGTGTGCAAATGTCTAACAAACAAGCCTCTGGTCTTTGACAGTTCAGGTTGTAAAGACCGCAAGAACTGCTCCGACGAATTTCACACATCTGGGCCCGACTGCCGCCATGTTTTGACTTCTCAGCGGCACAGGGCAACGCAAAGGCACCTGTATGGACATCCCGCTCATGATGAGCCTACTGCAGGCCTACGAGCATCAAGCCTCCGCCAAGCAAAGCAAGCGGAGGAAATCGAAGCTGAGCGGCAGCGACTCGATGCGACTCGCTCCTGAACCTGATGGAGGTCGGGAACCTGATTCGCGTGCAGCGGAAACGTGCCGCGAACATCAACGGCTGATGAGCCACAACCATCCGCAACCGCTCCCGGCTGTGGAGCTCCGGTGACACCGCCCTGATCCGGACCCGCCTGAGCTCAAGAGCAAACTCCTGTGCCTTCTAATTGGGCTACCTTCGATGTCCAGTCTACGCTCCGCGGCTTCAGGCATGGTATGGCATGGCACCAAGGTG